AGCAGTTGCCGGACTAGCCTTCCTTGCCTTCAGCCTAGCTGCCTTGTCTTAGCTAGCCCTTTCGGACTAGCCTTTTGAAGCTTTCTCGCTTCCCCCTAAACTAAAGGGGAACACCGGCTAAGGCACTAATAACAGCAACAGCTAATACCGTTCCTCCCCTATCTCTTAAAGCTACGGCATCCCACCGATCCTCGCATCGGCTCTGCTAGTTGGCTTTGCTATCAAGGCATAGCATTCTATGGACTCTTTCACCATGTCCAGAAATGGTATGCCAACACGTTTTCTCCTTAGCTAACCAAAGTCTTCTGATGGCAATAACCGCGTTTGCCGTTAAAAGTCAACCGGTGTTCTCCCTACGCAGGAAAGAAGGAGACCTAAAAGTTATATCTGTACGCCGACCTTGGGATTTAGACGCTTCGACTTAGCCTATCAAGGCTAATGCACTCTCTTTTTCCAATGCTCAATCTTTCGCTCAAATGGCCGATCAATCTTCAAGCTGTTCCCAACAGATCTTGTGAGACAAACCCTCGGTGAAGCACTGCATCTTTCTAGCTTCAAAGAAAGAGAAAGACAACGAAGTGGGATGATTTCCCAAGCTTAGGACTTTATCAATGGGCACTAGAGAGAGGCGCTAACATGCAAAAAAGCCTCCTTTCGGGTGGAACTATCTCAAATGGTCAAATGGGCAAGCGCAGTTCCTCTTCTGTAGGCCCAGGTGAGTTTGCTTCCAGGCATTCGTGGAAGTTGGAGTCCCTTCTTGAAGAAAAAAGAGAGATCCACAGTCTCTATCCTTTACTCTTACGTGCCAGTAAGAAAGTGCCTGCCCCCCTTCTGCGGGAATGAATGGGATAGTGGAAGGTTCTTTCTTTCTTTCTTTACATCCAATCGCTCTGGCCTGCTATCGAAGGGATCATACTACTGCATTTCCCGAGCAAGAAGTAGGTCTTCCCCAGTGCTGCTTTCTGCCTTCTCTTCGTAGTACCCTCCGTCGCCTAGTCCAGCTGTCCTTGTTATTGCCCCTCCAGTTCTAGTTCCGGTTGCTGTGGGTCCAGTCGAGCCTCTTCCAAGACAAGATTATGGGAAAGAGAAGATTAGGGGCTATTCGAGTACTTCTTCCTCTCGAGATTGCTTTTCTTTTTATCAAAATGAAGTAAGGGGCAGGATAAGAAATAGAGAATCCCCCTATCGAGCCAGCCCAGGCTAGGGAATCTCCCTTATTTGAATGAGTCTTTCCAACCCGCCTAGTCAAAAGCCCTTTTAGTTTCACCTGAATATAAAGCTTCTATTGGGAGGACTACTCTTTTTGTGTAAGCCGCCTTGCTCTAAGAAGAATCTCTTCTCCCCGCGAGCGAGTTGGAATGGAATGCTAATCGATTTTAGAATGCCCTCTCTTTAAGGATCTTCCCCTGTGAGCGATCCCGCCTCTGATGTAAGTGATCCTATATCCGCTGAAGTAAGTGAGCTCTCCGGGAAGGCTAGCAAGACTACCTGGGATTGCAGTCATAAGCTAAGCTCCTAGGGTTGGATTCCTTCTGGCTTCCTATCCTAAGCCCTTTCCAGCGATCCCTTTTAGTTCTTTTCCAAAAAAAGGCAAATGCAATCCTTGAGTCTGTGAAAGAAAGCACTGCTGAAGAGGGATCTACTTTCAATGCTAGTTTTGAGTCATCTAGTGTCAGTCCTACTTTGATCTCTACGACTTCTGTTACATCTCATGAAATTCCTTCTTCTAAGCCGCCAGAGCCAGGTCAGTCTATTGAGGGTCAGGCTATCTTTTATTAAGATCTAGCTTTCCTTTCATAGGTTGCTAGCCAGGTTCCTTCAAGTGATAAGAGATTTAAGGCAGTCTAAGGCTAGTCCTACTGACATCGAGTGTGAGAAAGCGCTTTTTAAAGTTTCTGTAGCAAGTTAGATCAGTAAGTTTGAAAGAGGAGCGCCTGTTACAGATCTAAGAAAGTCAAGTTAGGAATATGAGACAAGACGGAAGCGGTTTAGCTGATTCAAAAAATTCCTATTCTTTATCACCCGAGGGAACTGAACTCACTTAATCCTCATCTATTGAACTCACTGAAACCAAGCCAATGGAGATTGCCGGGTAAGACGCTTACTTTGCCGGGTATGAACTCCTCCCTTCCCGCTACTCTATCTAATGCTTACGGTTCTTTCTCTCATCCAGCAAAGCGGTAATGGCATTATAGTACGAGGGCCTTCCAAGGGCTAGCACGACACGAAAGGGAAATGCGGAATTGCTAGTCTAGAGAAAGATTCATAGTTAATCTATCCCACTAGCTACAGCTTGCATTCGATTTCTTGTCTTGCACAACCTATTGAATGCCCAAGGAAAGTCATTAGGTAAGGCGGATTCGATCACCGTCTTTGTCCCCACAGCGGCTTCTGGTCCATCGGCAGTCTATTCTTTTGCTACAGAACAAGGCATTCTTGCCAAGACATTCCGACTACACCTTCTTTGGTCCACTACTGCTATTGCTGCGGGAAGTGGCACTAATCTAATTTCGTTCTCATGGCCCATGTCCAAGGGAAAGAAAATAGTACAGATTCGGGGGGTCGCCTATTTGTTTATTTGAAATGAAAGTTCCTTGCCTTAGACTTCGAGTTGACAGAGAGGAATGGCAGAACTCTTGGCCTTACGAGACGAGGGCTACGGTTAGCTTATCTGCCTTCTGGCACTCGGTCTTCTAAGACGGATACTGGATTTCCTTACTTTCTTTACGAGGACACCCTAGCTAGATTCAAGTTTTCCTTCCAGGGGAGAAAGGTAAATTCATTCTTTTGAATGAAGACCCGGTAGCTGTAGCAAAGGAAGAAGGCGTAGAGGTAGAGGCTCTACCTGATCTGATCCCCGGAGATTGAACAATTTCTGACCCTGGCCCCGGCTTAACCACACTAAGACTTATTCAGTCTAATTGGAAGACTGCTATTGAATCAGCAGTGAGCGAATGGTCTTATCTTGCTCCTCTCAACGACACAAGGGAGAAGGTTATGAAAGAGCTATGCCTTTTTAAAAGGAGTTTATCTGGCTCTTCGACTAGCAGCTTGAACGTGGAAATCTTAGTCGGTAGTGGCTTTGCGTCCAAAGGCGAAAAAGAGAGGAATTCCCTCTGTTGTCACAAGAAAGGACTAGTTTCCTAGCGGGATGAGTGACGGTAAACTTATTTAGGAGTGAAAAAAGGGGTGTAGCGAAGATTCCATTTCTTTTGACTCTTTCAAGAAGGGAAGAAGAATATCACCAGTTGAGGAGATTGATTTGACTCTTTCTCTTCCCAGGAAGGATAAGATGTGAACACAGGCAAGAACTCTTCCTTCACTGAGAAAGGTAGCGAAGTCACCTCTGGATTAAATTAAGTGATTTGGAACTCATACCCGGAGAGACTAAGCCGAATTCTCCATTGCCAATCCTGTCAGCAATCGATTTAATCACAAAGCAAAGAGAGATTCTCTTATATGGAAGAAGATCAAACTAGGGTTATTTGAACTAAGCCGAATCTATGGAAATTCAAATAGCATTACTTTCACCGCCTCAAGGCACCGCACCGATCTTACTGTTTAAGAAAGAACTCCGAGTGAAAGCCTCCTATTAGCTCTGAATCGGTAGGCTATTTAAGTACTTTTATTGGCCTGGAGAGGCTTTCCTTTCTTATCTTTTCTTTTAGAGAAGGGAGAGTTAAGCAAGAAGGGGGAAAGAAAGTAGGGCAGATAATTGATTTTGCAAGAATCGGCATAACCACTGTTGGAGGAAGGGTAGATGGGATCGATCCCACTCCCACACCCGGGGCGAAAGGTCAATGCTTTTTTAGTTCCATAAATGGATCCCTTTCACTTTAAGAAGCTGTGAACTGAACGTGGTCAGCATTAGATTCATTAGAGTAGGGAGGGGGAGCTGCTCTCTCTTAGCGACTCGGAACTCTGTTCACGACATGGTTAGCCGCGGTTCGATTGACCGAGGGTTCGCTTTCTCTTGGTGCCCATGGTGTGACCATGTTTTTGGTGGGGAGAGATAGAGATGAGGGCTTTAGCGCCTTTCCTTACTCCCTTACCGGGAATGCATCCAAAGGCGTTCAAACCTGGCTTACTTGGAAGATGGGAAGAATAGCGTAGTAAAGTAGCCTGGGTGCCTGGCCTTTCCTTATGATTCTGATCCCGGGATAAAGAATAGCTCGTCTTTAACGAAAGTCTTCTTTGTCTTCTGCTTTTCGCGTGAACGTGGGCTATTTAGATTAGAAATGAAGTAGGATGTCCCTCCTCGCCTATAAGCCAGAACTCTTTTGGGAGCGAATAAGACCGACTCCTTCTTTTTTAGGGTTAAGTAGGGATCAACCTATAATCAACCTATATTAGGCTGCACCATCTTTCAAGGGAGCTCAATCTAGGACCTTTCGGAAATGAGATAGAAGCTTGAAAGGGCCAACCACTTATTTTAGATAAACTCGCAGGTACTGATAAGATGTATGTAGTAAAGAAGGGATAATCCATGGCATGCGCCTAATCCGCTCTTACAGATATCTATCTGTTCCTCAAGATTCGCTGCTAATTGAATTTGAATGTCCGGTACCCAAGAAGTAACTAGGAGAATGGAAAATAAATACAAGCAAGACAGGGTCTTCAAGGAAGAGGTTGTTGCCCCGGTAGATATACTAAGTTTGCAGTAAACCCTAGATGGAATTCAACGTTGATCTATTTGCTTGTACGATTGGTTTGTGTTACCTATAGCTAATGAAGTAAGCCTTGATTGAAGGAAATCTAGTCAATCCGGATTGACTTAAGACTTTGAAGTATTAGAATCCACTTCTCCTGCTCCAGAGGAAGGCTAGATGATCTCAACCACTTATTGTGAATCGAAAGCACAGAATCAGTGGTAATTCGTTAATAGCACGGATCGAACGAGAAGGATGGGATTGGGTTCAGTTAAGGTAACCTAGAGGGTTATTTAAAGCCTAATTCCAATCGAGCTTGTCTTTGAGCACTCAAAGTCTTCAGCAAGACAAGGAGAATCCCGACAGGAGTTTCCGTTCTCCTAGAGGCGAAGCAGGGGTAACTAAAATATCTAATGGAAATGTTTTATATCGGGGTGACTAGACGTGATGGGAAATTCGTTTAAGCAATTAAGTCAGCTCTGAACTCACCCGAGACAGGCTGCCACAGACTCCAGAGAACTCGAGCGGTCAGGCCAGGAAGACATATTGATTATAAAATATATAGATGTGTCTTTAACCGGATTTTTCTTCCAAAAGCCAATGCGACCAGAAATGTTAAAAAAAATGTGAATTTATAAAAAAAAATACAAAAGAAATGTAGCCGGGGATGGTGCTGCCATGCTTCTTCTATGAGTTTTAGACTATATTGGGGTATACTTGAATAGTCAAATACTCCAGGCTAATGGCACTAAGTCAGGTGCTAGCCTAGCTCTTCCAGTACGACGAATGCTTTCCTTAACAAGGGGATACTATAACTAAAGAGTATTTGCGTCTTATACACTTCATTTGTTCTCCCCTATCGACAGATGAGAGACTTGAAGGGACAAATGCGAGCGGCAAGGGCTTAAAGAAGCGACCAGCTCAAGCGATTGAGAGAGCTCAACCTTTGCGACAGATTAAAAAAGACAGAATCCAGATGGAGCATTTTCGACCGAGTGAGAAAAAAAAGAGTTAAAACAAATCGAATTGACAAAAGACCTTTGTTTGAAACTGCACTCCTTTTTAGGGCGGAGTGCCATCTCATCTCAAAAATGCATTTTTTGAATAAACACCGTAATTTTGGGCTCGGGGGATGCTTTCAACAAAAATGAAAATTTGAGTGGCGGGGCAATCTCAAAAAAATTAGAAATAGGTAACGAAAAGGAATGTCAAAAGAAAAGAAGGATCGTTTTCTTATACTTTCGAGAAAGTGGAATGCATTTCTCGATATCGCTATCGAAAAATAAGGGATTAGCTTGATTCATGTGGACCGATGCCCATAGCCCGAGAAAAATGAAAAGAAATCGATGAATGTGCCCGGACCAAGCAACAAATAAGCGCTAGCAGATGAGATTGGACCTATAGACTAGGCACCAAAGGAAGAAGCAGGCAAGACACTCTTGTTGGACAATAATTGGTCTCAAAAGCCCATTTAGAGCATTTGAATTGGAACCTTCTCGTACAAAGACAAAGACCTTTAACTCGAAAGACCAGGGGAAGAAAAAGACTTAGACTTAACCCGGAGAAGAAAGACTGGCGACAAAGACCCGAGACTCGCTACCTTCGATTAACCCGTCGCTACTTCCGACTGCTCTGGTTAGCACGGAAAAGCAGGTTTAAGTCTTTCCTCTCTGTTTCCTTCCGTCTCGTTCCGGTCTCTTTTCTTCTTCATTCTCACCCTATAGTTGATTTCCCTTTTATAAGCTATATCAACATAGCCAACTAGAAAACTCATCCGCTTGTCAATTCTTGGTGTAATACTCACTTGTAAATGATTGGTGTCAGAATTTTTCACTGATCAGGTGTGATCAGTCTCAGTGTAAGAATTAGGAATTCCTCTTCCAACCCGTCCCAGAATAGGCGTTATGGCAAAGAACAAGAAGAAAACAAAAGGAGAAATTTGTCCAATAGTAACAAATGGTGCCTCCACAGGTTGACATCCGATCCAACCTAGTAGTAAGCAATCCGCCAAAAGCAACCAAAAAATTCCTTGATAAATCGGGCGAAAACTTGAACTACGCACATACATATTTTTAAAAAAAGGTAAAGCCAACAGACATATAAAAACTGGTGCTATTGCGGCTACACCTCCCGATTTGTCAGGTATACTACGAAGAATGGCATGGATCGGTAGGAAATACCATTCCGGCACAATATGAGGCGGGGTGGACATCGGATTAGCAGGTATATAATTGTCGGGATGCCCCAAAACATTAGGAGCATAAAAAATCCAAATAGAAAAAAAGATAGCAAAAGCTACCCAACCTACTAGATCTTTTACATAAAAATAAGGGTAAAAAGAAATTTTATCCATCTCTGAATGTACACCCAATGGATTATTTGATCCATATTGATGCAATGCGGCCAGATGAAGAAGACTGGCGCCTACTAAAATAAAGGGGAGTAAATGATGAAGACTAAAAAAACGATTTAAGGTGGCATTGTCCACGGAGAAACCACCCCAAAGCCAAGTCACTATGGTATCTCCTACTACAGGTATGGCGCTAGCTAAGCTTGTAATTACTGTAGCTCCCCAAAAGCTCATCTGACCCCAAGGTAGTACGTATCCTATAAAAGCTGTCACAATCATTAATAGGAAGATTACAACTCCGAGACACCGAACAAATTCCCTAGGACTGCTATAACTCGCATGATATAGACCACGAAAAATATGAAGGTAAACCACAATGAGAAACATACTTGCCCCATTAGCATGCATATAACGTAGCAACCAGCCCCCTTCAACATCTCTCATAACGTGTTCTACGCTGTTGAAAGCTAGATCCACATGAGGTGTGTAATGCATAGCTAAAAAAACGCCAGTCACTATCTGAATGACTAAACAAATACCAGCTAACGGACCGAACCCCCACCAATAACTAAGATTGCTCGGGGTTGGATAATCTATCAAATGCTGATTAAGTGTGGAGGATATAGGTTGTTTAAGAAGAGAGAATCGTTGGTTCCTTATAGTCATTTCTCTTTCCTATCGTGACAACTCTTGTTCCCCCACCTTTTTAGCGTTCTGGGGCCCTACTTACTTATGTATATATTCTTATATATATATATATAAGTAAGTAAGTAAGAATATATTTAGTATCCCTTTCTTTTACTTTCGAAGGATGGAGGGGGTATACAGCGAAAGAAGCATCGAAGGGGTCATCCTGGGTTACTGAAGAGTCGTCCGACTGCTCGGTGACCGAATCAGAGAGGTTTTTACCGCTTTCTCTTCGGCACTCTCGGACTAATCATCTTGCTGCAACAAAGAAAGCTTAGGAATGAATCTAATGGAAATTTAGGTCTCTGTCCGCTTGGAAGATTCTTCTTTCCTCTTCGGTGAAAGAGGGCAAGGGCGTGGTGGGAGCTAAAAGGAGAGAAGATCTCGTCCACCAAGCGGGAACAGAGTGCGACCCCTAAGCAATTTGAGGTTCTCGCTCATCTCTTGGGGGTCCATATCATCTGAAAACTTTTCCTGTTCCATTAGCATAGACAAATTTTTTTAGGATGACTCAGCGTCAGGAAAAGTAAGCCCCCCTTTGCCTTGATTGAATTTGGCTTCGCTGCGCCCTGAATCAATCAAAAAGCTTATTTTATTGATTTGATTCATCCCATTTCATTTGGGCAAGAGGGAGGCTGTGAGTCACCTGGGCTACGGATTTTTCGGTTGGTTGATTCTCGAAATCACCTCTTGAGAAAAAAAAGGCCCTCGGGTCCCGACCCACAAATGAATAGGAAGCGAGGCGAGGGTCTTTCATTAAAGGGGGAAAAGAGGGGTGGGGCTTTGTTCTGGGGGGGCCGCCCTTCGCAGCTTTAGAAAGGAGAGAATTGTTGAAAGTCCCTCTCTCCAACCTTTTTTATCTATCTTTAGAAGTAGGGCGAGAGATAGTCAATATGATATTTGCGTTGGTTTTTCCAACGAAACAAAGCACTTTTTTGTCTTTTTCATTCGGAAGGCTCAGTCCCACACTCTGACTTCAATGATGGAAACAACCTCCGCACTCCGGCGCTCCAATGAACAACAGTTCCCCGCCTTACTATATTTAGAATAGTGGTCGATCCCTCGGGAATGAAATTCGTAACTGAATGTTATGTTCACGCGGTGATTCCAAAAGTACTACCCTGTACGTAGTCTATGTCTGGGGAGCATACTTGACAGGAGATAGACACAGGCGGTAGAGAGGTCCCCCACTTCGATTCCCGCCCCGTTAGCATCTCCGATCCGAGATAAGGGATTACTCCGTTAGGTCTTTTCGGTCCGGAGCCGGCCGGTAATGGACCTACTTACCTTGCTTGTGGACCAGCTGCAGAGCTAACCCTTGTTCTATTGGTTTGGTCGTTGCTACCAAGACGATTTCTTTATGCCCGGACCTCGAGATGCTAATCCACGAAAAACGATACGAGAAATTCGAAAGAACTCATCTACTCCACGAGGGCGACCCGTGGAAATACATCGGTTTCTTACTCGTGCAAAGGAACTATTTCTTGGCAACTTGGACAACTTATAACGATGTTTGTCCCGCGGAAGATCGAGATCTTTACAAAAAGCTTTATAAAGCTTTCGTCTCAATTCATATTTAGCCGCGAGCAATCTACGTTTGTGATCTCGTATATTTCGCTTTTCCGACATCTTACTGAGTTTCCCCCTCATCTTTCTTTTTGCAAAAAGCCGCTCCACGGTGGTAAAGTCTCATCTTGTGTGTTGGCCGAAGTGACAATAGTCACATTGAACCCTCGAATATGTTCGAAGATCTCGAAATGATCTTCCAGTTCCGGGGATAATTCGCAAAACTCCGTTTCCATCGAGAATTTAATGGAGTTTTCCCGTATTTCGACTGGAGAATCTAACAGAGACATTACTGTCGAGATTCTGACCGAAAAATTAGACATTCCATGCCCTCGGAGAGTGCTTTGTCGTGCTAGGTCACTGACATATCCTTTGTCTTTATTTGACCCCAAGAATGGATTGGATCGAAAGGACTTTCCTGTCGAACCACTTTGTGTCTGTATGAATTTCTGACCGCGCGGAATCTCCATAGCCAATTTTCCATTTTTGATTATGAAATTATAGGGTGCCTTTGGTACTACTCTTATTTCACACGATCCAGGAACTTCCATAACGTTGGCGTGATTCGGTTTGAGCAACGGATCTTGACGTGATACATCTTCGTAATGAAAATGGAGTGGAAACATATTTTGATTGAGAAATCAACCTCTTCTCCAGATAGAAAGAGAGTCTTTCCTGTACGAGTAGTTAAGAATTATAGGTAGAACTTTTGTTGGTTGTTGACCAACGGAAAACATGGGAGTAAGAAATAAGAACCGAAGTCGTCACAGGGTTTGAATTTGGAAGATCCTAGACGAGGGCCTTCTATTCTTTTGGGACACTTTTTCACTCATTCTTCCCAGGAGCGCCACTTTCTTACTTCTTCATGGATGTCCCCCCAAGTATCGGTGCTAGGATCGTTAAGATTACGGATTAAGTTGGCTAGGAAACCCAGTTGCTGCTTCTCCGGGATATCCTCAACTCTCTCCGCTACGTCTCTTGCTGCATCTTCTACAGCCTCGCAGCGTAGTGGATTGTAACCTCTTTCCCGAGCGATTTCCTTCGCTCGTTGGGCCATTAACTTTTTCTTGGATTCCACCTTCTGTATGTGCTCTTCGCTTTCTCTCCATTCTTTGGAGTTACGGAGCTCTAGCTCCTCCCTCCTTTCCTCAGAGGCAGAGGGACCAGCTTCGTGCGAATCAGCAGTCAAAAAAAGAGTCGAATTGTTAGGCGTTGGTGGTGGATTGAACCCACCATTCATTCCTCCCAACGCGGACTCACCTCTAAACGCGGGATTGAACTGGGCTACCGCCTTGGATAGCTCATCCATTAATAGCATACAGGCAAAACTAGCCATTTTCAAAAATAAATAAATAAAGAGTAGTCGGACCACTACATACAAAATAATTTGGATTTGAAATGGGAGTCGTCGAATTACTGGTATTCGAAAGAATAAAAAATTTCTGGGCGGAGAAAAAAAAAAAGATGTAATGGTAGAGACATTTTTTTCTATCAATAAAAAATATACGTTTTTTCGCCACATCGCGTATAACGGGAATCGAACCCCTC